GGGCGTCTGGCGATTCTTGGCTTAGTACACTGTTCTGTAAGGGACTTTGACAAAGAAAAGAAATAGAGAAAAGGTAAAAAAATAAAAAGGAAAAAAAAATGTTAACACCACTACCGATAGAAATTGATACTGCCATCATGTAGGATATAATAATAGCAAATATAAAAAGCCTCACGGTCCTTCCAAGTAAATTAGCCGTTGCCCTATGGCTTCCAAGTCCAATTGATTGATAACTAATAGAATGACACACAGCGCACCATCTCAGCACAGACTTAAGTCATCACCGATATTAAGAAGAGTAACAATGCAACTCTAGTCTCCTCTTTATAGTAGGTATACCCAACGAATATATCAATATCTCCATCACCGTTACATTATCAATGCCACCTTACCAATTACCTCCGTCATGAAAGTCAATCTCTAACAGGATGTACGCAAGTATGCGTTATTATTATTCAGTATTATCATCATCATTTCCTGATTTGCGATCGCGTATTACGACCAGCCAAGAACCCTCAATCTCCCACACGACCAAGTCCCCATAGATATGGAGTACAGGATCAGGAGCTCCTGTTCAAGCAAGCGATAGCGAAGCTCAAGCATTGCTTAATCTCAGGGTCCACGGAGAGTGTCCGCGGGCATCCGCGCTTCTACGTAAGTGAGGGAGAACCAGAGATTAGACTCGGGTCTTAATTTAGTCTCCATCCAATGCCCGACCACTTAACGCTTTCGGCAGTCTGCCGATGAAAAATGGCCTCTTTTTTTTTTTTTTTTTCCTTTTTTCCCCCTCTCTCTTTCATTTCCTGCAAGCGAAACCCGAACCCATGTGAGGAGACGTCGGGCATGGAGTTGGTTTAGCTTCTATACATAGTAAGGTCGTTCCTTTAGCGTTCTCCTAATTAGGAAAGGAACTGCTTGAGATCACGATTAATGAGGATGACGTTGGTCAATGATGAGGATGATGCCATTCGAGTTGTGATTTAGTCTTGGTCATTTCTACGTATCCAGAGGCTAAAGGAGGAAGTTTTATACCGACGGAGTATCATCTCCGAGTGTCAATCGAATAGAATTTTTCCCCCTTGCTTTCTTTTTCTGCATGATTGTTTTTTTGTTGCTTCACTTTCTCTGCATCGCCTCGTATTGCGGAGGGAAGGACTAGTTGGGAAAATATGGGAGGAGAAAAAGAAAAAAACAAATAATAACAAATAATAAAAATATCGAATAAAAGCAAATCAAATTGAACAAAAAAAAATAACTCCTAAAAATTGTGGCTGATTTATAGCAGGAACTGCTATAGCCCAGCGTGAAAATTCCTCGTTTGGTCAGTCTGTGCAGTGGGATCGGAGCGATATACGTAAGCGACGTTGACAAGATCGCCGAAAATTAATCTATCATTAATCTATCGCTAATGTCCACTCCAAGATGAAACAAACGGGGGATTAATATATCGATGAGCTTGTTTGTCTCATTGGATATGATTCTGGACTAAAATGCAGCCGCCAGATTCTCTCCCAGAGCAATGAATGTATGTACTATGTATTATGTAGTAGGGTTCCGCATATCTACTTGGACCATGCAAGAAGTAATTTAAAGTATGGAGATGGATTACTATAGATAGAACCCCTACTTTCCTGACACATGGGCACACTCCGTTTCAACCCTCGGTAAGACTCCCTCCACTTTCTTGCTGCTGCAGGGACTAAAAATCCATTCTCATTCACCACCTTATGTACCTCCAGAAATTCTCCGAGGATAAATCTTCCCTTCCGCCAATGATTGGTGGGTTCGGAGGTTTGCCTCACCAAAAAGACATCTCTCCAAGGCAGGATTTTTAGTCCGATCCCAACTCCACGAACCCTAAGTCAAAACTAACATACGGAGTTCTCCGTTGGATCCCTAACCAACAACGATGGCTTGTTTTCCACAGTAGTTTAATAAGTACGGTACTTCTTAGTGCTACGGATCCAACTGTAACTTAATCCACGATTACTCGAGCAAAAAAAATTCCAAGAAGAAAATATGTACCATCTTCTCGTGCCCGGACCTAACGACCGATTCAGACTAGAGCCTTGCCATAGTGCAATGCCATCCCCCTCCGAATCGTAGTCCCATGGTTGATAATTTCCCCTGAGGCTTCTAGTGTCCTTCTGGATGCTTGCACATGCTTGTCATGGAATGTCGATCGACAATGGATCGTCTTGTCCTACGAACCACCGTTCCTTGGTCACCATCGGTGGTTTACACGCATGCATCGCGTTCCCATTAAGGACGGCATCCGAACCATCCAGTTCGAAACGGACTTTCTGCCGTACACGGTAAAACCAGCTTTTGCGCAGCTGAGGTGTACTCAGAGTAATTTGACCGATGAACTTGGCGCAGCGCATCCTTCATGTCCGTCTTAATTTCACCTGGATACACCAACCAACCCGCATGGATTACAGTACCTGTGTCTTATTCAAAAAAAAAAAAAAAAAAAAAACCTCTGGCAACTCCATTGGCCAAACTACTTATCAATCTTCCGCTCAGGAAAAACGTGATCCTCTTCCGTAATCCTTCCCATTCCACCCCCTATCGACCAAGCACTCTTAAGTCTTTAACGCCCATTACCTGCGGAAATATGACCCGCATCTTTTGTTGTCTTTGGTCAACCATCTAGACATCTCACCAACACCAACCCAAGCTCCATAATGGTCCATGATAACTATGCCGGAACAGGAACGCAATGAGCGGAACTACCCGCCTCAGGGACTGATGTCTTGCACCCTGTGTCAATCGAGCAGCTCGAGTCTAGTGCTTGCTTAATTTCATCATATATTGCTCAGATTTAGAGCTTCGGTGAGGTCTCCACTCGGAGGGGCCGTATCCAGCACGCCTGGTCCATGAGCGAAGGTCCCCGTCGCGGTAGACTATCGGGTATATTCCGTGGTTGATTGCCGGGAACATTTGTCGGTGAGGTTAATACTTGTCGTTTTATTAGGGCGTTGAGTGCTTGATCTATTTCGGTCGCGGACCCGGCTACTGCACTACGACTAAGCCGTTACTAGTTAGGTGCAACTGGGCAGCCTTGTCAATTTGCTTGCGATGCTTTGACTCAGATTTATGTTGATGAGAAGTCAGAAGACGATGAGAAGGATCTTCATTCAGACGCTTCTGTGATTCAAACGAATCTCTTCTTGAGATCATCATTCAGAACATGTGCATACAACGTATAATGTGGGTACGAGAGCACATATCCCCAAACCACAAAAGAACAACTACTCGGAGTACGGAGTACACTGGGATCAGAAACCAACCAGACACCTAAATGAAATCCAACTCTTACAGATTTTGTTGTTCTTGTTTGTGTGTTGTTGTGGGACTGCCGAATCTGTTTGCCTGATTAGGCATCTCCATTTGTGCAGAACGCCCCCATATCAGTATCCACTCGTTCTGTAAGGCATGTCCGGATGCAAGACATCGTCTGGACCAAGACAGCTTGTTTTCTGTCATCAGCAACGAACTAATGGAACTGAGCTGGTTATACTTATACCCTAGCTTTGTCAACTGTGAATACTGTTGTTAACAATCCATCTAGGACTGATTCCAAGGAGGGGATAGCATGAATGAAATATGCTTACTCTTAGCCACTTTCTGCAGACAGAGTTTTGTACTGTTCGAGTGGTCAAGGGATGTATAACGACTACTCCAACCATATCACGGGACACTAGAATCTTGAGGAACAAGTATCAGTCCAAAAGTTAGAAACACCCATCATCCCAGACAACGACCTCTTATGTATCAACACCGTTGACTTCCAATATCTGCACGACAGTAAATGACCAGAGCTACAACTGGCAGTGTATACCAACACTCCCATTTCCAACTTGGAGGTCAAATACTAACATAAGCACCACACCAGCTCATTCATGCTTACTGAAACTAACATCACCAATATACATTACTCTACCTTCAACCAGACTAAAAACTACCATATCATTCCGAGTTCTTACACAACATATCAAGAATATTACCTACAATCTACAAGTTAAATAAACATACGACCCTTATCAGCCTCAACAGATTCTACACAATATCCTCACAGCGAAGAAAACATACATACTCAACAACAAAGACCAAGCAATAACCCACGCCCCAAACACTCCTATACTCTTACCTTACTATGAGTACAACATCAACATCCCTACCTACAAGTACCTCTCACCAACACAATAAAACCAAACCCAAATGAAAGCACCAAACTCAAATAAAAACTAACTCATACCACCAAAAAACTACAAAGTAAAGAAAGAAAGAAAGAAAGAAAAGCAACAGCAGTGCAGTGCACCAATAACCATATCAGGTTAAACCCCCTTTCCCCCGCCACAAACTAGACTCAAACCCAAACCAAAACCCACAGTTGCAACACCAAAAGTTAACAACCAAAAAGCCAAAGCCAAAGCAAAAAGTAAATTAAGTAGGAGTAAAAGCAAAAGCCACGTAAGGAACCCTCCTCCCACGCTACGCCAACCACAAACCAAAATACAAATACAAATACACATAAACCCATCCCCCCTCCTACCCCCACCCCCACCACTCTAGCCTGTATAGTCCACATGCATTCCATTGAAACGCAGAACATACCCGAATCGAGTCAAGTGCCCGGCTATGGTGAAACGACGAAGGATTCTGGACTAAAGACTGGCACTAGGACTAAGGACTAGGACCTTCTTAGGTTTGGATCCATGATCCATGATCCATTGGTTTGAAAGAGGTTCTGTGTTTGGTTTAGTTTGGGTTGGTTTTCGGGAGTGTGGTTGCTTTTTACTAGCCGAGGTTCTTGGTCTTTCTTTTCTTTCATTTTTTTTTTTTTTTCAGTTTTCTTATACTAGAGGTAATGTAAGATGTGGTAGGTTTGGGCTTTCTTTCTTTTTTTTTTATTTGGTAGAGTACTTAGTTGTCTATTGTTTGACATGGGGTTGGAGGACGGATGGGAGTAGAAATAAGTATAGCTTTATTGGAGGCTCACTTCGCTTGTGTGATCGGATGGAGTAATATGTCATCTGTTGACTTGATGGCTTTGGTTTTGGTTCAAGATTGTTTTATATTCTTCATTTTTGACCGTTTTACGTTTCCCTTGTTCTCTGAGGCATCCTTGGTAGAGGTTGTTTCATGGTAGACTTGATACTCTCCGCGTGGGATGAATTTCAAATCAATCCTTGGTAGACCAAAAAAAAGATCTTTTTATTATAATACCCATAATATATAACCACCTGCAATCCACAATTATACCCCTCACCCCCTACCAACTACAATATTAAACCCACCAACGGATGAACGCTTATCAGATCTCCTTCAAACCAGGTAGCGTCTGAGTAGACGGATACGGAGACCGATTGACACAGCCATCCACGCGCAGGACGACTTTCACGCTAATGGCCCTGGCTTCTCTGATGCAGCACGCTAGACACGTCCGTCCGACTCTGCCAATGAGAGCATCATATCCAAGTGAAGCGCACCACGCTCGGGCGAAGGTTTCCCTTTCGTGGCCGCCACGCGCATCGACGATGAGCACTTCGTGCTTCCTGTGATGGTTGTTGTGGTTGCTATGGTGGTTGCCCTCGAGGAAAGCGTCGTCAGGGACATCGTGTTCGGGGAGGGAGTCTAGCGAGATGTGTTTGTATTTGTACCCGCTGTGGAGAGGATGGCCTGGAAGACGGTGGTGGTGTCGGGGACTTGAACTGCTGGACGGCGTCGATGTGCCACTCCCAGTGGGGTATGCGCAGTGATACGATATGAAGTTGCCCGGTGGGCGGCATTCGTGAGATGTAATGAAACGGACGTTGTATCTCAATTGAAAGGAGACTTTCCAGGGTGAGTCAGTCCCTGAGGCGATGGAAAAGGTCATAAGGGTCCTGTCGGCGATGGGATGCGGCGTGTTTTCCAATGACTGCCCGTCTTTCCCAGAGAATGTCAATGTCTCGAAGCTGACTTTCTTCAGATCTTTCTCCAACGGGGTGTCCATTGGTAGGGAGAATGCACCGCTGACTCGCTCACCACGGCCAAGTGGTGTCGATTCATACGCTAATTTATTCCCCTGGCGGATGCGCGGCTTTCCAGGCATTGACAGGGGCGGTTTAACAGAAACTTCGAACCATGAATTGTCCAGCGGCTGAACTGTCCAAGCGTCTTTGGGCACAACTGCGCTCCTTATCCATCCCAGACATTCTTTGGCATCTTCCAGACTGGCCAGGACTCGGCCGACGACACACTCTTTGCTCCACCAAGTCATTCCATTGTACGCGAACCCACCATACAGGTTTGCAATGGGCCCTAGTTTCGCGAGAGCATCTGGGTCATTTTCCAATATCGTAGCCATAAGCAGGTGGCTAATCTGCTCTCCGGGAAATACAAAGCCAGAGAGCCAGCTCCGGGTAATCCAACCACCAAGTTGCACAGAAGCTGTCTGATCTTGAGAGCAATGGAGGACTATCCACCGGCGGGATAGGCTTTTGGTATGCATTTCCTCTTTACTAAGAGGCGCGCCAGCTTCAGCTGGCAGTTTATTGCGCACGGGCTTTTCATATGCATGAGCGACTGCATCACTCAGTTGATCTGACCCAATCGCAGAGTCCAGGCGCGCTCTGAGTCCATCAAGTCCTGGCCAACCGATTTCTTGACCAAACACAAGTAACCCTTGGAGCTGTTGGTCGAGATATGTTGGGGCCAGGCTGCAATTCCAGGCTGACTCGGTGGACTCGGTGGCTGAGCCGGACAACGATCTGTGGAGCAGGTTTTCGAAGAAAGATCGAGGGTTCTTCTCATGGTTTCTTTCACCCCTCGAGTGGCCTGTTTGTTCTACGGGGTCGAGGCTAGGTTGGTCAGGCTCGTCGGCCCTGTAGCTGATGTCGAACGTGTCCATAAAGCGTCGTACCACCACCAAGTCCCAGTCTACTTTCCCGCTTCTTAGCTTCTCGAAATCATCTACGTCTTTGGCGGTGATCTGTAACTCCTTGGAATTCTCTAGGATCCCCACCCGGACAGTAGCATCAAGACGGAGAAGCAACTCCGCGGCGAGGAGCATCTGGATAAGGAGCCACCGGCGCTCGAGCGTTGGATGCATCCAGGGTTTTGAGCACGTAGAAGGGTCCAAAAGATCGCCGTCCGGATGAGGACCGGCACCCCACAGCAACTGTCCTGCATATAACCGCCATTCGGGTAGACTGAAATCCACCCACGCGCCCCTTGTGGCGAGGGTCATTGTCAAAGCCTTGATTTGAGATTTGAGGCTATGAGCCAGGCTGGAGTCTGCGAGCAGAGGTTTGGAAGGAGGATAGAGGAATTTAGTGAATAGGCCGCTGTACAAGTCCCGGGTAGATTCGGTATCAAGGATTGTGGTTGCTTTCTTTCCGTGTAACAGTTCACGACGGAGATCTGTTAACGTCCGCAGGCGTTCCACTAAGCATTGTAGATTGATGTCCCGTACGCCGATCTTTTTCCAGGCCGATGGGCCATCACATAGTAACTGGTGCCGGTCATATGCAGCGCCTCCAGGCAGTGCATGAACGTCATGATAATGCTCCATCATTTCATATATCTCCGAGGCCGGAATCGAGGAAAGCTGTATGTAATTCAATTTCGCCTTTGGTTCCTCTGGGTAGCGCACAGCATCCGCAACGGGGAGCTCTAGATAATAACGAAACCCAACCGCTCCTGGGTCCTTTCCGTTCATTGACAGCATGTTTGGTACTTCAAAAATCCCAATGTCGAAAGTCGCTCTCTTGGCGCCTCCGGTCTTTCTCCAACTATTGAGGTGTATCGGCTCATCTTTGGAGATTACCCACCTGTCAGGAACAGGTAGGTGGGCATGCAATGTACATAGAGTATACGACGGATGGGGTAGTGGTTTTCTGTCCCACAGATTCTGGATAGTAGGATCGTGGTCATCGAAGGGGAAGATCACCTGTGGGTAATGATGATCATACTTACCCCTTTCGAGGAGGAAGAACGGGGCTCCCGAGAAAAGAGTCTCAATGTCTTCTTTGCTAAGAGCATATTCAGATGACGATGTAGCCTCATGTTTACCCTCATGGTTGTGCTCCTTTGCAGATGAATTATGCGCCTGCGGGGAGCTCTGGGAACCCGTGTAGCCTTTGGCAGCTGTTGTCGTGGATTGCTTAGGTTGGTTTGCATGAGTCTGTTTCTACAGTCAGATCCATTTCAAATTCTAAATGAGACTATCTTGACGAAATATAATAACTAATGGAAGGGAAGGCTTACACTATCATGACCCCTCTCCACTGTCGACATCTCCATTTCTGAATCATCTCGATGTCTCCGGAATATATCTTGAAAAACATTTCTCTCATGAGCGCCACGAGTCTGACTCGGCGCATTCGGAACAGATGCCCTTCTTCTCAATCTCGCGTTCGGATTGCTAGGCACGCCATCGTCCTCTGCTGGCGCACCAGAGACAGAATGCCGACGGCCGAAAAAGAAAGCCATCGTCTCTTTGGCTTCGATTCGTAGTGATGTAACTTGTTTTGTATGCTTATACCTAATTTATAGCTGAGAAAGGAATTCTCTGGCTGTTCGGCATGCCGAGGTAAGCCGGTTATATGTTTGGTGCCCAAAGACAAGCGGATCCTCAGCGGGGGAACTGGTTGTCAAGCGATATCCTCATTTACATGGTGAAGAAACAATTCTTGAATACGGCGCTCCATATATAAATAGCCCTTGTATTGTTAATTCAGGGACAATCCAGGGCCTAGAACAAAGGAAGAAGTTGAGTTGAAAAGTGACGGGAGATGATAATCGATGACGTCGGGCAAATCACGGGCCGGCCGATGTTACCTGATCCAGTAGTTGGAACCTCAGGGACCGTTTTATCTTCATCGCATGACAAGTAATGGGGCAATCAGACATCCGACTCCCGATTGATGCGCTAACCGGGCCGAGTTGCAATTTTAATATACGTAAATACAAAATATACCTCAAATAGAAAGTATTGTGACATGGTCTAGTATATCGAAGTTGATAGACACTGATGTCAACCCAATCACCAGTATCTACTAGAGATTACGCACGCCCACCAGTGTTCATCGAAAAAGGTGAATCAAAAATATGTGCAATTTTTTCTTTTGAAGATATTAGACTAAGAGAACATCAAGGCATCAGTCATTAGATTATTTCGAAGTCCTCCAGAGGTATTTAGTCCCATTTCTTCCCTTAAGCGTGCTTGTGGAGGAATTCCAGAGCAGTCTTGTAGCCCCTCTCGTACTCCTTGCGAACTTCAGCATCCTCGAGGTTCGAACGGGCTGCCATCCAACCGTGGATCTGAGTGGAGAAAGTCTCAACGTAGTTGGCGACCGTCAGGTTGGAGCCGAAATCCTGGACATCCTTGGGGTTCTCATCCTTGGAAGCGAGCACGGCCATGGGGATGGTGACCGACTTCGCATCATCTGGGGCGAGCATAGCGGGGTGGCACTGCACGGCGGCCTTGAAGATCTGGTTGTCCTTGCCCGAGGCCAGGGCGGTGATCTTTCCACCCCAGCAGTAGCCCAGGATCGACCAGGACTCGAACTTGCCGTTGGGGGCGAACTTGTTGGCTTCCGACACCACGCTTGGAATCTTAGAAAGGGTGCTTGGGGGAGCGGCCTTGGTCTGGAAGAAGTTGCCGAGCTTCTGCTTGTGGTCATCGTTCTGGGGAGGAAACCAGGTGATGTCGGCGGGCTGGCCTTCGAAAAAGTCGGGCATGAAGACCCGGTACTTCTGCTCGTTGGCAGTGGCGAGGATGTCGGCACCCTGGATGGTCTGGTCGAAGAAACCGAAGATGTCTGTCGGCTTTTCTTAGCTATATGTGTGCGGGGTCTAGACGATGAGTAGATTTTACGCACCGTAGATGACCAGGATAGCCTTGGAGGCAGTTTCCGGGCCAGTGACGTCTGAGAGTCGTCAATAAAAATACTATACCAAGCCATCTAGAGTGAAACCTACACGTCTTCAAGCCATTAAGAGTCTTGTATTCACCCTTGGCCTGGTAGCCCTTGGGAACAATGGGAGGGATACTGCAAATTATTAGGATAGTTCGACACTGCCCATCTTAACGGAAGAGAAGACTCACGAGCAACAGGCTTTGCTAACACCAGACATGGCGGCAGAAGAGCAATGAACTGGTCGAAATGAAGATGGCGGGGTTTTCACCGAGGAGAGAGACCTTCGCAAAGGAGATGTTAGAAGCTGCTTGTAAATCATATTTAGTGAGGAAATAACGCACAAAGAACCAAGATAGGACAATTGGCAGCTGCTTGACGTGTAGTAGTCAAATGATGAAGTTGTTGAGTATGGTAAGAGAGTGATTTCGAGGGGTGACAGCAAGAAGACCGGTGTTTTTTGATTGAAGTATCCGAGGTATCGGTTTGGACCCCACCTGGAACAACCGACGTCATCGCCGCGACATCTCGGCAGCATCCACTCAGCTTTGATATCGACCCATTTCTCGATAATTACTTATATTTTATTGCTTAGAATTATATTTATATATATTATCATATTCGATGTCATTTGTGAAGACCAACTTGGAGTCATAAATAATTCGTCTTCTAGGCTGGATAAACGAATATCCGCTATATGTGGGGTCTTCTTAACCCACAGCGCTTTCTGCCGTATGCTGGAGAACCTCAACTACGCAGGTTTCAGGATCAAGTAGGAAATAGACTATCGACTGCATTTATTAAATCCGGCTCAGAGTTTCATTCCTCAAGTAAACCTATGTGCAATGGCTCATAATATCGATAGTACACTTATATCTTTGACGCAATCTGTACTACCCCTAGCAACCGTTACACCATATCAATGATAAAAATGACGGGCTTACTGGTATAATAAACTATACAGAATATCTCTCGAAACTTCTCAAACCGATATAGATTGCCCAGCTGAAACTGAATTGAGAGACCTGGTTTTTATCGTTCAAGTTGCTCTCAACAGCTTGACATTTTCTTTCGGATAAGAGGTTCTGCGGTTTCATGCAGTGACCGATATTAGTGGTTCTCGATCTTCCTGCTATCTTAGAGGGAGCATGTCATGAGTATCGTACCAGTAGAGCACTAGCCTGAATAAAATGATTAGTATGAATCTTCTGTACTGCCGAGGGTACGCATCTGTCATAATCAGACCCCCCTACGATAACTTCAGAAATGAGTCGTGATATAACCGTCATATTCAGGCTACAGCCATAATAATGTACCTAACGGACAGGTAACATAAAAAGGAAAACGTATAAACCATATGCCCATGTCCATTCATGTAACGTATACTCATGCCACCCAACACCACTATCATGCTTACCCCCATATGAACACTCATAAGTGTATCTAGTAGCAAAAGCCACCAGTAGCTCGCACGTCACCCATCAATACCATCAATACCCCTTCTCCCCGGGAAGCCTCACATCCTCCCAACCGCGTCCATCCCCAATACCAGGCAAACTCTCCTCCCTCCGAATACCCTTCCACTCAGTAACATTCATCCACCCAATCCGCTGGAAACCGCCGAAGCCACCAATCCAATAAACCTGACTGACAACCATGCGGACCCAGTGGCTCCTGTGCGGGGAGCCCGGTCGCTCCGGCAGCCACACCCGTGCATCGGGGTGAGCTTTCAGATAGCAAGACCGGAGAGCCGCCTCCGTGTCCTCCGGAACAGGGGACGGGAAGGACTCGACGTACCCGAAGAGAGTAACACGGGGGAGACCGGCAGGGCTGAGCGGGAAGCCGGGCCAGAGCGGCTCGGTCTCGTTCAAATGGTCCCACCAGTCGAGGGTGATGCTCATGTTAGAGCCTGCAGCAGTGTTGCGGAAGGTAGTTTCGACTTCAAGGGCGAGGAAGGTCGGGTCGCCGTTGCCGCCGTGGCCGCTTGGAGGGGGAAGGGCCTCGTCGCAGTCTGAGATATATTCTTTCTGGCTGATGGACAGGCCGGCCACGGCGGCTGGGACGTGGACATCCTTGGGTGTGTGTGAGAAGATGGTGGAGGCTACACCGGTGGTTGAGAGAGCGAGCAGTCGGCGGGCCATGAGGGTGGAGGTGAACCATGATGGTGCAGCTTCTGCCTCTGGGTCTTTCTCAAAGATGTCGACATTGTCCTCAGAGATCGAGGGAAGGTTGTAGGTGTCGCCTAGGACTGTCTGGTCGGGGGAGACATTTTCGGCAGCTGAGAGGGGGACCGCTACAGCCTGGACGAAGAGCAGAGCTAGTGCGGAGACGAAGGCGAGACCTCGGTCAAGACCCTTCATGGTGAGTCTTCGCTTTGAATGTAAAAGGACAAGCCTGTAGAGTAGATATTTCAAGCAGGAATGGAGCTGTAGGAAAGGGATATGTTAAGGAGGAAGCTACGCCAAGAATCCTCCCCTCACATGAGACTCCGGATGGTCTGATGATGAAGGTGACTGTGAGGGGAACTGCAACAACGCTGAATCTGATCTTATCTGATCACGCTAGGACGCATATAGCTAAGCGTACTGTGCACCTGACTAGCGCAACATCCGACTCCATCCGGGGGTTCCGGCACACTCCGACATTGATGCCTGCCTCAGGCTGCCATGGATGACAATGACTCACCGGTTGTTTGCAGCGCCACTCGATCATCACCGAAACACAGAGAACTGGAATAGCTCTTTCAGTGACTCATGACCTCTTATCACGAGACCATGTCAGACAATAGCCTAGCGTGAGAACACTAGAGGCTACTACCAGTTGGTTCCATGGCTTGCTTGTCTCCTTGCATAAGGCCTTACGATCGGATTAGGACGATGGTGGCCTCAGGCAAAGAAGGCATCAAGATCAAAGCCCTTGACCAACGAGTCTCACACTCACACAATGGATGGAAAGAACTCTTTCAAAGAATAGGATATGCATTGTAGAACACTGAATCCGCCGCTACACCGTCGACCGAGATGACAAAAAAACCAAGAGAACAAAGCACAAAAAGAATACAACCTGCCATTGCCGCACACTCCAGTTCATGATAGTAGTAGTAGTAATAGTAATAAATATCCACGATATGGAACAAAATAAATGATAAAAGATAGTGATAAAACCTCTCCGTCATAGATCATACACAAGTGGACTGCGGGTTACAGGGCCACTGCACCAGACAGAGGTGGGCGCAGACTCCGTCGCAGAATTCCAACCAAATCCAACCAACACCAGGGTATATACAAGACGAGAAATGTTTCCCGACAAAAGAAGATATGAGATAAAGTTCACACAAAACTTTTCCCACCGGATATCTGCGTTTCCGCCCTCTGTGGGCGTTGAGGCTAAATCAAGATCACTCGGTCGACGAGTTCAAGGATCGATAAGGATATTATGCAATAAACAATAACTTTTCCTTTCTACAGAAAAAAGAAAAGAAAAGAACAGAACAGAAGGCGAACCTGTCCACTGCATAAAAAAATTCCGTCCAGCGAACGAATCTAACCCAGATAGTCCGCGCGCACGCTTGGATTCAGTGCAATCTTTCTCGCTTCACTGCCACAGCACGCACGCTTCATGCCTGCCGGTCCAGAAAGTGGAACGTTGTAATTAAGAGCGTGCAGTTGGGCAGCTGTGAGAGATTGAGTGCGGCTAGGCCGAGCGTTCAGGAACAGATCAGTCATGTTTCCATCAGGCAACACAGTGCCCTCAGTGATGGTATTGGAGTGCATCAAGTGACGGACGTGGTTCTGCAACGCGAAATCATCAGATCCGGCGCGACCGCGTTTCCGACACTGACGCTGGTTTCCACTCTGCTGATTCGTTTGAGTGGCACGAGGAGCGGAACCAGACAACGCACAAAGGCTCTGGGCAGCCTCATGAGCGGATGTCATATCGACTGGAATTCCCAATGAGTATTTAGACAGCTCCGAAACATGTCCAGTAGATCCAGTAATGCTTTCGGGGGACTTATAAATGTCATTGTAGGAACTCTCATCGATAGGGGATGCAATAGCCACGGCCTTCCGGTTCTCCTTCATCGAATTGTTGGTACATCTAAGGGTAGCCTGAATGGCCAGTCGAGGCAAAACCGGACCAGATGTAGTCGACGACATAGAAGAGGACCGAGACGAGTTGGCAGACAGAGTCGAGACATCCGAAACCATCGAATCCGGCGAAGACGCAGAGGAGGTCGAGCGAGCCAGAGAAGACCGGCGTACCATAGTCGGGTAGCCATCAAGCGAGCCAGTCTTCGGGCAAAACGGAAGTGACGGGCGCTGGTCGAGAGTCGACCGCGCCATGCACATGTTTTGCGCCTGGGACATGGCAGCGCAGAAATAGCGCCGGTGAGATGAGAAAGAGCCAGCACTCGCAGCAGGAGTGGAGGCCATGCTCGACTGGGGCGTCAGCTGCGGGGTAGGCAGCGTAGGAAGCCGTGGCAACGACGGAAGGGATGCATTGAAGCTGTCAGCCCGAGAGGCTTGCTCGAGAGTTGTAGGAGTCCGCTTAAGAATAGACGCCTCCGATGGGAGGGTGGAGGGTTCGCTCGCGAAAGTAGGGAGGAAAGAGCCTCTCATGGAGGTGCCACGAGGAGACGGAGAGCCTACCATCCATCCGGAATCGGAACCCTCCATGCTTGTGGGAGTCATCGGCTCAAAATCAAGTTCTTCCAACTCAGGAGTAAGTCTTGGAATGACTGTCTGCCAAGTCTGGCCTTCGCCAGACATGCCACCAGCACCAGGAGTATACTTCAACACAATATCCGTCCACCGCTGGAAAGTGGCTTCGGGAATGTGAAGTTTCCAATCCACTGCTTGCAGGAACATCAACTCGTTCTGGTTGATCTCTAATGTATTTAGACCAGAGATTTTGCTCCAAGCGCGGGCGGAATAGTTTCGGTCCTGAAGGTATTTGGAGGCAAGAATCAGGGCGGCAAGGAACATGCGTCGACCACACTGCATAGCCCGACAGACGGGCTTACTCCGAGTCTGGTCATGGGCCAGGTCATGACTGGGCACGTGGGGCTTGATCTTAATCAGATAGTACAACGCCACTTGCAACGTGCTATAACTGGTCCGGGACCGGCGGAGCGTCTCCTGGATGAAGGTGCGAAGAGGCAAAACACCTTTGCAGCCTGTGGTTGCATCACTTCGGAGCGCTACTGCGGACAAGGGCCAGATGGTCTCGACGATCTGCGACGCGGTGTCTTCATAATAAATCTTCAGCTATGGGATCATCCCCGATAATATCCGACTGCACTTACCGACGAGGTTATCGACGAAGTTCACTTTCCGCTCCGACTGACGCAGCAGGCAGGGCGGAGGCCGCGCGCAGGACACGCCGTTGGACTGGATACCGCTGTTTGTACGCCGCGGATGTTTACGCAATTCCGGAGGAACAGCCACATCCGTAGCCTTCATAGCGTTGCCCCTCAAGGGCGCACGCGAAGGGCCCAGTCCCCTTCCTGCTGTTTGGTACTCACCGTCATTTTCCCAGATGACATCAACCGGGTTCGTCGAGGCGGAAGAGATGGATCCGTGGGAGGACACCCCATCGAGAGAGAACACCGACGACGAAGAGGAAGATGCGGAGGAGGAAATCGACGATGCGTAAGGGTGCGCATACGACGCTCTGTATGAAACACTAGGGTTTGGATCTTTCAAACCCAAAACGTCAATCCCTGTCATATTCCGGGGAGCTATCCAGATGAATGACCTGATTTACTTCAAGTAGCAAGTAACTCAAATGACCAATCAGGTGGACGGCAAACTTGTGTGGAGTAAATCCGACGCAAGACCAAGATACGGCAAGGTGCGCTCGTTCAAAAACCGTGAGAAAATCAAATATACCGTTGTGCAATAACCGTTAACGAGACGCTGTAAGACAAGAACCGTCTTTTATTCACAGGCGACGGCAGGCCTTCGAGAAACAATTCGCCAGGGTGTATGGGTATCAAAAAAAAAAAGGGTGGGTAGATCGGAGGTTATAAGGTCATTCAACTATAGTTGGATGTCAAGGTTTAAGGTCGGATAGAGGGTGAGGACGTATATCGGGGTTAAAGGTAGGACGTATGAGGTGTAGAGGATCGAAAGGAGGCGCAAATAAATAAGATTGTACCGATCACCGGTTGTAGATTCCAGTGCAGATCAACCGAAGTAACGTACGACAAAAGACACGTAGAAAGCGTATCGGGTCCACGCGACTTCCAAGACGACAGGTGCTGTATGAGTCAAATCGATCTAGATGAGAGTAACAGACTTGTCGGACTTTCGGAGATCAAAGGCGGAGGATTCTGCAACACTGGTGACCGGAACAAAGTATTTCGAAACAACAAGGTACATCTTGATACTGTGGGGAGTATGAAGTTATAAAGAAGAGCCGCTACGACGGCAGACTGTTAGCAAGCAGGCAGATCCACTTCTGTAGACTGATGCTTGTCCAGGCAGTCAGCTGTCTGTCAAGAGGCTCTTAAAGAGGCGATCGACTGTAGTCTGATGGCGAACAAGTACAGTCAGCAACTATGGAAGTCCCCAGTTTTTCATATGCTTATGACTCTTCAAGTGTCAGGGAACCGCAGGTGCGCTGCCTATTCTTCGGAGGGCGGAGCGGTAGACTAGGGAAATGACTAACTGGGGGGGCGACCCAGTCAGAAATCAGGAAGTGGAAGGGAAGAACAGGCAAAGGGGATGGCGAAATTTCAAGATTAGGAGGAAATTTGACCAGTGGCACCAGGGAGAGGGAATGATATGAAAGGAACGTGACTAACAGAAGATTCTCTGGAGAGAATGGGGGTTACTCACCTGTGGCAAGAGTGGCGGAAACTGAGGAACAGGGCGGACCGCAGGGACCACGTTTTTCTGCCAAAAAGAACAAGCTTGAGAAAAATAGAAATCAACTGATGGAGCGGAGAGGAAAATGACAAAAAGAAAAAGAAAAACAAGAATCGATTAATAGTCACAAAAATAAATCATATGGGATGAGAGAGAAAGGGGGGAGAGATGACTCTTCAGAAAAGAAAAAAAAAAAAAAAAAAAAAAGAGGTCGTCTGTCCCTTCTTCAGAAAGGATGACTGGTTAGAGGGAAAAGGAAGAGTAGGAAGAGGGAGAGAGGAAGAGACGGAGAGAGTCAGTTCAATCAGCCTTGTTGGCGGTAGTGTTCTGAGTCGTACAGTTACGGCGACGGCAGGCGGTACTTAGAGGTTCAGGGCGCAGGGACGATGATCGGGAACGGATGATACAGTATGACTCTTTCACGTCCACCCGAGATAGGGATTTCTGGGCCCGAATTGGGCATTTCATTGCAAAGATCCGCTTTTTTTCTTTTTTTACTTTCTTATTACATTTTTCTTTCTCATCAAGACAAATCATCATCTTTGGCTTGATCATCTGGTTCTTTCGATATTTGATTGTAATTGTAATCATGCCCCGTCGACATTATTCATCGAATCGATCACCTCCGGTTTTGATGTTACTCGGTCACCATGCAATACGGTCACTTTCTGCAGTAGTGTCAAGCACTTAAGGGCCGCTCTCGCTCAATTCCATGCATCATGATATTACTCTTAATAATAACCTAGATTTTTTTTTTATATCTCGAGACCCCCAGGATCATATCATGGGAAAAGAATACATGGACGATAATGTTGTAATTAAATCGATCCCGATCGGTATTATCGTAGTGGATACCTGATCCTATCTCTCCACGAAAAAAGAGCTCTCCATATATCGATAGTATGGAGATAGAGTATCGGACTTGTACCCTCATATCAAATCCGAATGACTCGACCGGCACTCCATCGCGATATCGGCAGTATGAAGAACCTTAGTAAGTACAGCTGTCAACCATGCTGTCGAACATGATAGTTGCAGACCGTACTAATAATACATCCATGCATTCCCGTGGGTAATATTACGTCTAATAACAATAGAGTTATAATCAGGGTGCAAATCAACAATGGACAACCTGATATCCACGACGTAATAACTATTCGACATGAATCAGGATGAGATCCTTCCACCAGTGCAACAGACTGCAACAATGTTCCCAGCCGCCAAAGAAGTATGGTTCGGAGCCAGTGCACACACAATGTTTCTTCTGCCGCGCTCGTCCACGGCCCAAAAGGGTGGTGGTCAGCCAACCACCGCTTCTGGATTTGGCCATTTGCCAGCCGCGCCACCGGAGGATTAGAAGTTTTTTTTTTTTTTTACACTTTACTAAGTTCGGTACAGCCTAAACAGCAAGGCAGTGTTAAGGCCGTGGCTGTTCAGCTTTTCACCAAATTTAGGTCCCAAGCAAAAGATATTGGATTTTCGACCATCATGACAGGTCCTGGCGCCTAGTTACCGCCTATTTTCATCTACCGACTAACCTTCATTATCTATCGTATACTACTAGACTACGTACTAGTTATACAATTCAATAGAAATGCAGATACTTAGGCAACTAAGGTAATCACCGGAGGCGGTAGCGCAAAAAGAACCACTCAGCCAACTGTCCCTGTGGAACCGACCATTCCCGAAACGGCGGTAGTTCCCAGGCGCCAGGCAACAGGTTACAGGTTACAGGTTACAGAAGATGAATGAAAGGGTTAACCTCCCTAAATGTGTTCTCGGCACATGGCAACTCTCGATCATAAGGTACATATCCATGTCTTCGGTGCATCTTCTCTGAACACAAGGTCACCTGTAACCTTACCCTATTAACTTTGGCATCGGCTAATCGTATAGTTAATTTATGAAAGTCCAGCCGACAAAAAAAAAAATTTCTTTCTTCCCCCTCCCCTTTTTACCTCAGTGAATGATCTAGAGTACTGAAGTTTAGGTAGAATCGACTCGGACTAGGCAGCTTACGGAGTTCTTGCCGAGGAGGGTGTACCATGTATTGTACCTGGCCAACGTCAGTCCAGATCTCCTGATGTCCCAAGAGTAATGCAATAATCATCCCTTCACGTAAATTGCTTTTCTAAACCACCACTCTCTCCTTCCAACTAACTTCCACAAATCTAATAATATTATCACACAAAACTATGGCTGTGTCAACGCTATCCCCTTTCCCCTATACACACCCCTCCATACGTAACTATCGATCCGAAATATCTAAATATACCCCAGGCACCATCCAAGCCTCGATGCAGATACTCTGTACATACATACATATACAGGGAGTATAACAGAACATAACAGAACATAAAAAGTCTAATAATAGTTTAGCTTCAAACACCCAAAAAGGAAGGTTCACAAGAAAAAAGAGAAAAGGCTGAGTAACCACTTACGTCGTGCACTACCTAATCCATGACACCACATACCCACTTCCAACAGTAAATCGAGTCATGGTCTAGTCCACTTCGGGTAGAAGTTTTGTGTCCGAAGAAAAAGGAGGGGTGTGGATGTCTTCCCGCCAATGAGAGTGTTGTTGCCAGGGGGGGGTGTGTTTAGGGTGGGGAAGTGAGAATTGGATAGCCCCGCATCTTTTGGTCATGAATTGCTGGTGTATGGAGGGATGACTTTTGGAACGTTGGTGGTATGGTCGATGGCTGGTTGAGGTTGGGATGATAATTGTATGTAATAGTTAGCTGTGCTTATTCTTTGTTAAGTTGTTGTATTGTACTGTACCTAGGCAAGTAGGGCTACGATCTCAGTAGGTAAGTAGTATATGTATACACACTCTCATACATTTCTACCATATCAACTCCACCATATTCAGAAGAGCCATCTATCTCTCCAACAAGCAATATCAAAAACAAAGAACCACAGTAGTACGCAGTAAGAAAATAAAAAAAAATCCACTACGCGATCAACACGCGTCAAACAGAAGTACTCCGTACTAGTGCAACAAGCTAGATCACACCCTCCCCCAACCTTAGTCGAACCCTAGAACTCAAAACGAAATCATCCACGGCCAACCGGAACCGATGCAAATCCCATCCCAAAGAAAAATCTCATGCCATCATTTGCGGGGGTCGGAATCATAGTTCCATGGCAAAAGCTGGGAGAAGAAAAGTACTGATTCCTGTGCTCTTGTCCGGCCAACAAAAAACTCTTCCGTGTCTAGAACCGATGGTGTAAGCTTGACACTCGCCCTTTTGGGCAACTTGCAGAAGGATGATGTATGCTAATGCATGCATGCTGCTTGATGGATTCACTAAGATATGATGTCGGGTTGGCGTCGTTTTGCCTTTGGTGATTGATAGTGGATGGTGTTGTTTTATGGAGCTATGGGATATATAATCTAGGGCATTATTCGGTTAGGATGCATGTACATGGTCATGTCAACTTATTGCAGAAAATGTACATCTACCACTGTATATCTCCATTTATCCAGCATGGGTTTGATCGTCATAGGATATGTCTACGCTACAAAGTCGTCTACGATTGTTCCAAACTTGCTCAGTAAATGTAAGCACACCGTCAAGAAGTTCCTGTGACCTCCGGTAAGACAGATTCTATGCTAACCACACCGAACAAAATCCGCAAATCCCATATTATATAGATACGCATAAGAAAACAGCATAGATATGACCAAAGCACCTGCCCCACATATAAGTGAGATATGCTATCTCACATATACCTCTCTTCCTCTACTTACTATATATCTCCATTTGGTCAGCTTACGTTGACTCTCCCCTCCCCCAAGGTTATCGCATGACTTCTGAACCAGTTTTTTCACTGTCTACTCCTGTAATCATCTATTCATGGCTCTATGTAATCGACTTGGCTTCGCGGTACAAATACAGGAATTCTATTATATCTATTATCTATCTATCAGGATATATATATATACTTGGCAATGTAGTGAAATGACTACAGATATAAGATAATTACAAACTACATCACTACTGTAGATGTCTCTAAATCCTACCAGTATTATCAAGGAAGACCTAGCGCAGATTAATATGTACTTAGCGTCCTATCGAGTTGTATAAGAATGGATGGAAAGCCTAGCGATGTGGTGACTGACATGTGTATCTGACCATGAAGCAACCTTTACCAACTCTAGGTAACTAGCTGTTATTATCATAGAAAGATTAAATCGCGATTTAGCCGAATTACAGCATGGTGGAGTTGGGGATGCTGTTTGGCTGGTTGTGTCCTCTTTATGGAACAGCTGGTGGTTTCGTATGTGGTCATTTTTATAAAGTTTGATAATTGGCTTACCTGAGTTTCCTAGGATACATATTATAAGTGTACTAGGGTTTTTGTATAGAATATTATTAAATAAAAGAATCTACGCTTCACCTTGAAAGCGGTGCAGCCAATAGTTCATTGGAAAGGAACAAGACGTCAACAGACTATACTAGAACGGCCTATCGAACCTTCAGGGCAGAAGACTTAGCATTGATCATCAGAGATAGTTTTTGCAACCAGTGTGCCTAGGGAGGGAGGGGAGGGGGGTTGTCTCTCATGATATGCGGTTCAAGTTGGTCTGGAGACTTTGCATCCCTGGACTTGATATGGGTGATCTGGATTCGTTTGTCAGTGCAGAAATCGAGCAGGATGAATCATCAGACTACTAGCGCTATTGATTGAATCTGGCAATTCACACTAATCTGCTTTCAGTCTTCTTCAACATCAACGTCTCGGGTGGGGGGCGGTTTCAATTAATTTGGCTCTGTCAAAGAAGAGTAACTCGAGACGGTTTCATATTGAGGTTAATATCAAGATAATTCTCAAGCAGGGGGGGGGGCAGTATGTGGTAACTGTATACCACAGTAAGAATGGCCAAGATATTACCCCAGCGATATCTAAGCAAAGGGCATTTGCTACATGGACTAGAAGGCCAAGAGCGCTGATTGAAGCTCTCCTTGCAAGCTTTTTCAGTGTGTCCACCATTTGACACTTTATTGTTCCGTAGTATTATGGCCATTATTACGGTCATTATGTTTGTTGTTTTCTTCTTTCCACCCCTACAGGATTAGTGCTGGGATTCCTACGTGCCTGACAAGGAATCCCACGCCATGACTTCGCACAAGAGCGAGGAGCCTTGTTCGATAAGGACTGACCGGGCTAGAAATGTGACAGAAGTGATTCGACAATAGCATCAGAACATATCTCAGAATCTTGGTCTCCCACCCTCCGTCTCTGACGCTTCAGTAATCTTCTCAGAGTCATAGACCACTCGATTCTGGACGTTTACTTTGCCCAATTTCATGACAATCCCTACTGTCTCTTTCCATATGTCTCGTACTGTTATTAAATAGCCTGAAGTTCTCGCATATCCAGTAGGCCTCCAGGATCAGGGATAGGACTGATCGATTAGACAATGTCTTATTAGACTGGCGAAATGCACTAGTGGACTTGGGCCAATGGCTAGAAGCCGTTCTCTGTTTCGCTCAATGCAAGACAGTACGCGAGAAAGGGATTTTGACTCAACGAAGCAAATCTCCGTAACGCTGCAAGGTGCAGAGAAGTGAATTTTCCTGATAAAGAAGCCGCACCATTTTCAACCAGGAACCTCACCGTAGAAGCCCGATCCATCGATGCGGCGAATAATTGGCACACCCACCGCAATCGTTAATTCCATTGGCGCTATCGTACACGGCCTCATCTATGGTGTGTCCTACCCTACACCCCGTTTTACTTCGAAGCCTAAGTGTGGCTAAGCGTCTAAGCATGAGTGTTGAAATGAACACTCCGAGGAGACACAAGCACACGTAGGGCTGTGGAAACTTACGATGATTGTGATGGTCGGTGCACGATCCTGTTTTAGACAGAGGCAACGAATAGATGGTCGAGACGACCATTTCGGCGCATCCGCGGGCGGCTTCGAAGCGGATACATGCTGCGGGGGTTGCTCACTCCTGTTACCACGATGTCCTTGCCTTTGAGGCTGAGGAGCTCGGGGTTCGAAGACATCAGTGGACTATGTCCAGAAGATATCCCACCGAACGACTCAGGAGACGTTCCAGTAGAACAGTACAAAGAAACAGACTCCAGGATAGTATCCAGCAGCAAAGGGCCATCAGGCCAATCGATAAACTTCTCCCTGACCTTTTTGATTGGATGGAGTTGTCGGTGTCGTAACAAGAGATTTAATATATACCCCCTTACCAAGCCAGGACTGCAACCGGACTTGTCGAGAGAGCATTGTCGATATCCAGGATCGGGACAGTTACAGTTGGCGGAAGAGTTCATGTGCAAGATATCTTCACGTTGACACGGGGATACTTGGACGAGCACGGACTTGTATATACGGGGACGAGGGAATCGCCGACGGTTGTGTTCACCACCTGAATCCCGCGACTACCGTTGACACCATTCTGCGAGGGGAAAGTAGGCGCATACGCCGCTGTTACCGCTGGGATAGGCGACGATCAGTCGTGAACGGATTTGGGTAAAGTCACAGTCCGTGTAGAAGTAGTTGACGTATGGAGGGTCGCTCAAGGCGAATGTGGACGGAGGTTCAAGACATGCCAACGAGTGCAAAACAGTGTCTAAGAAAGGAAGACTGCGACCTGTTAGCTTGGATCAAATCAAGATTCTTTTAACCTGTTATAGCCTCGACAGTGAGGCAGCATCCGTGCCGAATACACCGAATAGAACCTACAGGAGCCCATATTATACAGAAACACGTAGTAAAATGTCGTTGAGCCAAATTAAAAAGCTGTACATAACCAAATCGCCTGCCACACGTATGAAAGGGTAGCATACCTGCACCATCCTTGCACATATCTCACTTCCTCTGCTCACTATGTAGTTTCAAGCAGTTGAGACCTTAGCCTAGGTTTTCACTCTCTAGATCATCGCGTAACCGTTTAACCAATGTCTTCGCCGTCTGCTCCTATGGTGGTCCCGTTTATAGCCCCGTGTCAGCTCCACGTCGTGAAATTGACCCAGCAGGCCTGTTTTGTGTATACGCTCGGCAACGTAGCGGATTGCCTGCGGGTGCGATATAATAGTATTGTAGTCTGCGGCTTTGCCACGTAGCCTCTGAATCCCAGCGATATCGTTGAGGAAGGTCTCGCGTAGATCGATATACAGCGGACACTGCAGGAAGACATGCCTCAAGGTCTGTGAGCTCTCCTCGCAGGAATATCGGTCTGACTCAGCCGCTTTGATCTGGAACGAAACGTGACGTGGCTCTATCTGATGCGTGCGCATCTGAATGAAAATTGCCGTGTGCGGCTTGGAAAGGCCCTTCCAGAGATCTGTGAGTTCTGGATATGCTTGTTGCTTGGAGCACTGACCAGGCTGTGGGAAGGCAGGGCAACCACTAAGGTGCCCAAGAAAACCGAGTCCGACAAAGTGATTTCATAGTGTGCCCGATCGAGACGAGACAAGTGCGTAGTGTTGGATACAAGGATATAGTTACCGTGCAAGCTGGGATTTAATTGACTTTCAGAACGTGGGGGTGAATATCTATGGAGGTGAGAAATATGGGAAAAGTGGGTTGCGGGGAACAAAGTTTGATATACAATTCGATTATCAATCTATGGCGGGCAGCTCCGACAATTGCCCGAAGTTTATACACTGGATTCATAGCGGTGTGTTCTGTAATACGGTATTGTTTATTGTTAATTTAATGTTGAATTATGTACTTGAACCTGAATATTATAATCCAGCCTCATCTGGTAAGCCTATTTGTTAGGCATTCGTTGTGTCCACCATACGGCCCACCTGCCGTGGGCATACCTGCACAGCAGGAATCTCGTCCAAATGGCGAGAGCCGGGTACGATGGGGTATACTTTGTATACTTTGTACAGGAGTTCCTCCCATGGGTATCTGTATGTAGTTTTGTCCATCCGAAGTCACTGTAGACTTCCGTCCTGCCTATGTATATGCTCGGTGTATCAAAGGACTTTTGCACGTCGTAATCTCATAACTCGTCATTCGTGGAGAAAGACAACTCAGTAGCTGAGAGTCGGGTGAAGGAGACGGGCAAAGATGGAGGGTTCAAGGGTTAGCTGATAATGAGAAAAAAAGATTCTTTAGGGTGTCATCCCGGGCTATCTGTTGACGTTTTCGATGGGAGGCTCTTCTGCTGATGTAGGGAGGTGAAGTCCACCGGACTAAGTTCTCGATCGGGGTACGGATGATTCGTGTGGGTTTCGCCGCTCCATGAATGGGACACTTCTGAGTGGCCGGTTTCCTGGTCTCGGGAGAGCCCGGAATGCTCGAACATGGCGATCGAAACGTCGTCCGTGTCCATCCAGGGGTGAGAGCGGTGGCGTGCGGCTGGCATTGCATGGGTGAGATCGGATGTAACCCGGCTTGCGTCGACGAAATCGGGGAAATCCGACGTGGGGCGGGTGACCGACTCGGTCTTCCAGACATGACTGTGGACGAGATGCACCAGCTTGCCCAAGACGGCGAATTCCAATTTCAACTTGATGCTATAAACCACGCCTTTGATCATCGTCTCCATGATGTACATGTCCTTATACTCCACCACCAGCAGGCCGATGTCCATCAGGATACTGACCAGGTTGATGGCGACCAGCTGGTACATGATTTTGCGTTTGCCTCTGTCGGGGTCCAGGCGGAGCATACGTATTGTTTCCCAGATGTACAGACCGGAGATAATAAATTCCTGGATACAAAAACCGGTCATCTGGATCTTCTCCATGATGTTGTATCCGTTGATGTAGGCGGCCCGGCCACCGGCCAGGTTAGATCCATAGGTTAAAACAGTGGTGGGAATGTGCAAGATAATGGCATCCACGATGATCATGGCAAGCACGCGGCGGAGGATGCGTGCATTGCCCAGAACCAGATGGAGTCGCGAATAGAGAACCAAGGACTGGCCCGTGACCATCGCCCACCAGCCGATGGTGATGAAAGTGACGGAGAGCCATGTTTGGTCGGTCAAGTTGAAAAACTTCAGCAGGAAGCCAACCTGGTAGGGAACGAGACCGACTGAGGATGCGATGAACAAACTCCAGAAGTAAAGGCCGTGGTACTGACTGAAGGTGACGAAGACGAGGATAATGAGTTCGATAGCATTGTACCAGGTTACGGCGGCAAGGGTCGCAATGGCAATCTTGAAACCAATGTCGTTGCCCGTATAACCCCCCGTGATACCATTCCCGGGCGAAACACCATGCCCAGAGACCATGTCGAGTTAGAGACTCGTCCCTTTAAGCGTGCGGATAGATACGAGGCATGATTTGGCGTTTGTGGGGGACAACCAGAACGGAAACCACATCCACCACAGAAAACAGGCCCAATAAGCCTTCGCAAGAGGTGGAGTATATGTTCGACAGAAGATAAATGGGGTAAAAAGTGGGAAGTCAGCAAGGAGAGAAGAAGAGGAAAGAGAAGAGGTGAGCAGATGAGACAAGATTAACTGGTCTCGTCAGGTGAGAGGCTGTGACCTATTTTCTGGGGCGGATTTTCTGGGGAGTGGAGATGAAGAACTATAATAATCATCGGTAGGGACATCCAAGGGGAAAAAAAAAAATAAGAAAAAGAAAAAAAAAGAAAATAGGGAAATAGGGAAATAAGAAAAATAAAAAATAAAAATAAAAATCCAATTTCTAAGCCTCCGATCGATTCTCCGCGGATGATGGATCAATGCACAGGCCCTACTCAAATTCAAGATCCATGCAGGAGTGAACAATCAAAAGGACTCCATCTGGATCAGTAAAGCACCGGAAATGGGTCCCAAGAAAAAGGAGATGGGGTCCTTTGTTACCCGATGACTGATCCAAATTGACAGAGAAATTAAATTGTCCGATCGATGGAAAAAGAAAGGGACCGAAAGAGACAGGCTGGGGACGCGAGACGGTCTTCCACAGATCCCACCGGGTTCCTCCACTGGGAGCTGCAGTCCCAATGATATCACAAACGAATTGATCTCATTTTGATCATATCCTCATGATGACAACAAGGCATCGACTGCTGAAGCGAAGTCTCTTTCCCAGATGGCTGCATATCAGATCCAGCCCGTGTCCCTTCTCGTGATTTGTTTGCCAGATATCTTTTCGTAGGAGCGGTGGGATTCGGACAGCTTCCGTTTCCCCCAATCAATTTAAAATTTGCATGTCGACTGAGAGAGGTACAGACTCCAGAGCCAGAGCTACCCTCGCGCCTGTCAGGTGTCAGTGGCTCCACTTGCTCACGGGCAATCAAAAATGTGCATCGTTCCGTTTAGTTACTCCTAGTACTTTGGTTCCCGTCCGGCGTCCACTCCTATTTTTCCCTCTTTCGCTATCACGTATCACGGGATCTTCCCAAATGAGTCAATTTGGCCTTAAACCCTAAGCTGGACGTGGATCTCTCCACGTAAAACGAGAACAAGAACAAGACCGAAAAGCATCATTACCGCCATTCAATCCCGGTTTATTTTCTCATAATTTTAAATAGTTTTACTGGCTTACCAGGATCGGTTTCTCCCTTAATCCCGCATCGCAACACCCAGCAGACCGGTTCTCCCCCTTCAACAAGGCAACCTATGACACACAGCTCAACCCATTGACCCATTCGTGGGGCCAGAACTGAAGTAAAGTCCAGCAAGTACATACTCCGGATGTTATCTCTGATCCCACTGGAAGCTGAGCACAAACCCCATCCATGATCCCACACGCACGAAAATCCCCGTGCGAAAAAGAAAAAGCAATGACTTCATCTGACCCGTGGAACCTCCACTTAGGTACCAGCTCTCCGACCAAGACGGCTAAAACGGCTCCGACGGAGACGCACACTCCAATTAACCGTTTTATTCATTGTTCGCCTTAACTTAAGGCTCCCTCACTAAGACTAACTATAAACTTGGGTCGACCCGGAGGCCCAAACTATTGAACACCGCTTTCCTTTGTCCTCCCGCCGTTACGCTCACTAAACCCCAGCGCGGTCCGCGGTTAAGGGGCAGGGTGCGGTTGTTGTTAAAAGATTTGGGGGGATAGTTTTGAAGTTGGTCGTTAGATTGGTTTAATTTGGTTTGGTTATCCGGGGACTTTTTCCCCAGGGCTTTTCGTTTTTACCTCGTATTTCTCAACCGGGATCCAATCGTAGTCTCGACCTTCAACCCTCGTTGGCACTTGACAGGGTCATCCACGGTGGACAATTCATCCACCCGGCCTTAAAAGTAACTTTTGTGTGCGTGTGTCCTTTTCCAACCGGCTATTTTCGTCCCTGGAGACTGAATTTTGACCGGTTACCGGATTTGGATCTCTACCCAGTATCGTAGAACGCGTTAATCGTTGCGTTGCCAACGCGGCCCATGGAAATTGAATGGATAAGGCTTCCCTAACCACTTAGCCACCCGCGCGGCGGCGGTTGGCGATGTCTATATTCACATAGGTTGCTCTAGGAATGTCTCGGAAGTTGTTTCTTTGCCTTTTTTTTTTTTTTTGTTCTTAGCCTTCAGTTGCCGTCCCGCGTACTTACTTCTCCTTTTGTTCGTAGACCGAGTCGATAATTACGATCCCAAGAAATTCAAAGAGAATGGAGCATGACTAACCCAATCGCGTAACCTACCCGGAATGAGTACACGGAAAACCATTGATTGAAAACCCCCAGCATTCCGACTCAACTCCACCATGAACTCACTCAAACTACTCCGTATAGAACAAACAATAGACATACCCCATGACAAAACATAAGCCCACCCCAATAAACAAGAAACAAAATATCTGCAAATAAGCAACAATCCATACATTCTCATCTACATAACATCCATGCATTGCTTACCTATAGAATAAGTTCCCAACGCCAATTAGCGGTTAGTATTAGATAGAATACTACATACATCCAACACCAACATACAATACATTGGATATCTCATAACTCGATCCCTACAGATACAAAGACCCGATCAAAGAGACTACTACGTACGTACCTTAATCTTTAATATCTAGCCGTGTACCTAGTACCTACTATTTAGTATCTACAGTACCTATCTATCTACTAGTAAAATCTACGGAGTATCTATCTATCTATCATATTTACTCCTCAAAGTTAAATAAATGATCTTATGCACCTATCCACCTCAAAAAGGATCTAATTCATCTCCCTAGCTACGGAGTACACCTAAGACAATCATCACAGTGACAATATAAGCCCCCACCCGAACGGACAGATCCAAAGACCCTAGCACAAATCCACAGAAACCACCTGCATCCAACATATCCAAACAAAACACCTCAGCTCAGCTCAGCTCGTAAAGCCACCATAATACGGAGTACAATAATCTATTCAATAAGCGAGTAATACGGTATGTACTTATACCTACCCCCTGACCACGATTGATGGCGATACGATGAGGGTCGAAATATATAAATAGATCTTACTACTTTGTCGGATCGGCCCTTTGGTTGTTGATCGATGGAGCTGGGAGCTTGGGGAGGGGCACGTGCTGGGTTGATGTAAGGGGTAACTTTGATCTGGGTTTCTTTATTTTTATTTTTATTTTTCTTTTTTTACCCTTCTTTTTATCTCTTTGTGTTTTCTTTGATTTTTTTTCGGGTTGGACTTTCTTTGTTGGAGTTATTTCTCGATTTTCTGTTTTGATGGGGTGGATGGATTTAGATGGGATTTTGGTTTGTTTGTTTGGATTAGGAGTGGCTTGGGATAGTAGGGTTAGGTAATTGGTAGTGGTTAGTTATTCGTACTCCGTACTCCGTACACAGTGTTGGTTCTTGCACGGATTGATTCCATTTTTTGTTACCTAGAAACACAGAAGCCCCCGCATATGCTTATACTATACTACCTATATTGTAACAAAACCAAAGTAACGCTAAGCGACATACAAGAGTATGCCAGGGATGCCTCAGAACGCCAATCAATCATTATTGCCGATCTCAAATGCACGACGACCCTCCACAAGCCCATCACTCACTTTGGTCACGGCCGCCCACACCGGCACAAACTGAATGGCCTCGTCCAACGCCGGAATAACTCCCGGCTGGTTATGATCGCTCCACAGACAGACGACATTGCCTTTCAGAGCTCCCTCGTCCCAGTCCACATCCACCGTCCATTGGTTCTCCCAGCTGCGACTCCAGAGTCGGATCTCGTTGACGCCGGCCGCGTCATACGGGAAGCGCGGGTCATATGCAGACCCGGCAACGTGGAAGTTCTTCACTGGTGTGTCGAAGACGATCCTGCATGCACGCGTGTTCATTCCAGATACCTCGAACCGAGCTTGCGGCTTATCGGTGGACTTGGAGATATTGAAAGACACCCAGTCTTTCATCGGGTGGTCGCCCTCCACTGGCTGCGGAGCAATCCCTTCCCAGGAGCAGGACAGCAGGTTCCTTCTCTTAGTGTGCCAGTCACAGGTAATGTCTTGGCCGGCGGCGCTGGGCAGCTCCTGGGATACATCTTTAACAAACGGAGAAAGTCCAGCGAAGGTGGCGCTGTTGACGCCAGTATCGAGGTCTACCTCTTGTACAAAGTAAAGTTTCAACCGGCTGGAATCTGAGAAGGGGAAAGCCACGAGATTGTAGACCAGGGTACCCAGGAAGACCGCTAGCAGGAACAAGGGGATGTGGTAGGTATACCGGTGGATGAAAGGTAGAAGCGGCGTGAGCATAATCGTCGTGAATATGGCGATGGCGATGTAGGCAAAAAGCGGATAACCCCCGTCCTGCCCTGTCTGACTGATGGCACTGATCGTCAGGAGCGCAAGGGGCCCGACCATGATAAGGGTAATCGGAGCAGTGAGAAGAAGCTGCAAGACCCACGTCCATTTGGGCAATGCAGAACTCCATGCTTGTTCGCGGCCATAGACGTTGGGATCGACCACCTCCTCTTCTGCCACCGCATGATTATCTCCACCCACTCGCACGTAATTTGCGAACGTAGTCCGCTGCCCACTGCCCAGCAGGGACGTTGACTCTGTTGGCTCTTCTTCCGCCTCCTCTCCGTCGTCCTCGCCGGAAGTCGTACCCCGACGGCTACCATGGCCACTGATCCGTCCTGAAGCTGGCCTGAGCTGGCTCGCATACTCCGTTTTGGACGGCAGGGCAAAGAGCTCCAAGTAGGAGATCCATGTGGCTAAGAAAATACCGGCATGGAAAAAGAAGATGAAATACCCACCGGCCAGACCCCTTTGGCTGGCATACACAGTAGCAATCACCGCAGAAACCCAGGAGAGAACATACATCCATGTCAGGGTGTAAATACGATGGAAGGCCGACGGGCGAGCAAAGTCGGCCACACGAGAAACGAACCAGGCCAAGAAAACCCATGCAGCCACCATCATACTCCAGACTGCATAAGCACTACTATGAATGATGTACGGGTTGACCTTGGTAACCAAATACGCCAGGCCCACAGCGACGACGGTCGGGATTCCAAAGAGAAACGGAAAGCGGAAGAAGCCCCGAAAGCCCTGTAGAGGGACCACATCGAAACGGTCTTCGGACTTTGCTGATGACCTGAACAGATACATCTTGTCCGCTTTCGTAAGGGCGATGCTCGTAAAGAGCAACGTAAGGGGCCCGACGATAAGCAATGTCACCAGCAGTGCGAACAGCGTGTGGAGCTGGAAGAGCACAAAGGTGCTTCCGAAAAGGTCAAACCAGACAGCCTTGGAGCCAGATCCGCTGGGAACGCCGCCATCGGTGTTCGGCGCACCGTCGAAACGATTGCTCGTGTCGGATACAAGTCCCTCAGTCGTGGCCACAGCCGCCGACAGCATATGCCAGACTGAGTCTCTGCTTGTATGCCGAGTATCATCCTGATTTGTATGATACCTCGCTCTGGGCTCCATGAAGGCAACATCTAGGCCACGCAAACCCAAGTTCCCTTGAAAGACCACATAATCTGTCTGACTAGCAATCAATCCGATATCGAACCCATTGGCACTGAGCACTGATCCGAAAGGATGCGGTGACCGCATATACGGGGCCGTGACCTCGAAATCGGAGCTCCGGAACAGAGTCGCCCGTCCACCAGCTCCCGCGCCCTCCAGATTAAGGAAAGTATGAGGCAACTTCGAGATCGGATGTTGACTATAGACGCGCGCGCCATTCAGGAAATCTTCCTCGCCATTGTTAAACAGCACCACGAGACCTCGCCGCGGAGCATGTCCCGGCGTAGTGAAGTACTTGACGAGCTGAAGACAAGTCACAACGCCGACGCCATCATCGGTAGCCCCGAAACCGGTCGAGACACTATCATAGTGCGAGTTTACAAGCACGCCTCCCCAGCTTGTCGGTACCCCGTTGGGTGCTTCCCACCAGTGTTCTGCGTCATCTTCCGACCCACGGATGTAAACGATGACATTGGTCCCTTCGAAATAGACGCCGAGATCTGCATCCTTCAGGGTGCCCCCATAAGTGGTCAGGTTTGAGTACACGTCATCGAAGACAAAGACATCCGGCTTTTTCTCGTCAACAGATCGGTACTCCTGCTCCGAAGGCGTGGCGTCCAGGATCTCGTTGATCCGTCTCAGTAGCCAAGAGTGGATGACATCATTCCGGCGCGAATTGTATGGATGAAAGCCGTTTGTTAGGACTTGAAGATCAGCCCAAGCTTCCGAGATGTTCAGACCTCTAGGTGGGGAGCTAGGAGCGGAAGGTACAACATGGTGCACGAGCAGCAATGGGATCAGCAGCGCCAGATACACGATCGCAGTGATAACAGTAACAGGCCAGCGAGTGAATGCCAACGGGTTGGCCCGCGGCAATCGGAGGGAAGCCATTAGATGTCGACCTCTTTTCAAAGGGTCCAGCCCAGGAGCGAGTGACGACTAAGACGCGAGCTTCCAAACACTTGCGATGTGGAGAGAGAATTGGAGATCGCGCATCAGGGCGGAAGGAGAAGTGGGGGGAACTTTAACGGAATGACATTTAATGCGCGGACACCAAACACTTTCCAATGATGTCAGCCGACCCCAAGTAGGATTCCCAAACAGGTTAGCCTTTGTCTGTCTAAGTATAGATCGCAGACTAGGACCTATCACATATTAGTACGGAGCACTGCCTTCAGCTCAATCCTAATCTCTTACAACAATGGGCGATTTATGAGGAACCGACTGGTACTCGGATTTTAAAGAAATCAGATTTACGTCTCGTGCTAGAGGTATCCGTACTCGCCAATCCTTCAAGGAAATCAAATACATGACTTAAACTAGAGTGTTCTAATGTCTAACTAGAAATACAAATTTATTTTGGAATGCTCCAACGCCATTGATGCAATATGTAGCTACAAATAGATCCGAGTCCTGGACGCAATACGCCGTACTTGGATAAAATCTATACATCCCCAGCAGCAACCGTAGGAAGATGTATATATCTTGTTGCTGGTGTCCCGTTTCCTCCACCAGGCCGGATATGGGAGCGTAGCTACGTGGCAGCTTCATTCCAATGCGACCGCATATATGCCTAGTCCCGGACAGATAAACACAACCTAGAAAATGGGCCCTGTACCGCTACCAATGCATGTCCCATATGATCAACCGTGACAGCCACTTCGTAAACGCAATGCTCGCACCGTGACCAGATTCGTCTGAGAGAACAACGCGGGATGAATAAAAACGCTGAGGCCAAATCAAAGAAAGAAGAACGAGATACGCTCAAAGGTATAAGGCAGGGGTATCAACCTTGAGGATGTCCAATGTCAATATAGTCGTCATCGTCGTCGTTAATTGCTGTCGCATGCATCAGGCCAGTCACTTGGCCCTCGTCCTCGTCCAGTTCTTCGTCATCGTCATACATGGTAGCCTCGTTCATTTCCGGAGCCGGGGGGACGGTTCGGTTCAGGTGGTCGCGGAGTTGCTTGACGCCGTCACCACTGAATACACAGAACACTTGTCGCTGCTGGTGCGTGAATTCCGGAGGCGCCTCGCGACAGAATTTGGTGAGCTCGTCCCGCAGGAATTCCTGCACTCCGGTCAGACTGAGGTGGGTGAGTCGAGGACAATTGTTGAGTAGAGCGTGGATTCCCTGTATCACATGTGAGACACTCCATTCTTGGCAAGGAGCATTGACCGATCGATAGACTTACAGGCATGGTCAAATTAACACAATAGCTTAAATGAACTCTCTCCAGGCTACTGATGGATGAATGGGGTGAGGCCTTCGGCCGTGCTAGTGCCGAGATACTGCGGTCGGTGATCAAGGTGCACTTGACCAGACCGATCCGCCGCAGTTTCGGCAACGTTGCTAACTCCTGAACACTCCGGTCCGTCAGGCGAACGCAACAAGCCAAGTCAATGTATCTGATCCGATTGCAGGACTTCACAAGCTGGATCACAGCTGCATCGGTGATATTCGAACAGTGGCCCAGATGAACGTAATGCAAGTTCTTTCCCAACTTGCATATAGCCCACACCGCACGGTCGGTGATAAATCTACATTTGGCAAGCACAAGATTCCGTAGGCGAGGGGCCGAGCTAACTATGCGCTCTACAGCGTCGTCTCTGATGTTCTCACACGCCGTCAGATCAAGTATACGGAGACTGTCCATAGAGAGTTGCTTTGGGAGTTCCAGGAATGCTAGATCGTCTATCTCTGTGCAATGCGCGAGCCGCAGTTCGCGGAGGTTGGGAAGGGTAGCCATGAGGGAAGTTACGGAACGATTGGTGACAGACTTGCAGTCGTGCAGGTCGATCTCAAGGATAGCCGGGCAGTTGCGAGCAAACGACGTAATCGCTCTGTCCGTAACTTGTATGACACCATTAAGTTTCAACTAATCCGTACATTAACATTGGTAACACAATGATTCAAGACGGCACTCACTCTTTTAATGTGTCGACAGTTCTCCGATACGACGATTAACGAGTCATCTGTCACTTTGATACAGTTGGTGATGTTGAGCCCCTGGAGCCGAGGACAGTTCCTGGCCACCGTGTATAAAGTGTGATCCGTAAGAGAGCGCAGATCCGAGACATCTAGGGCTTGCAAATGTCGATTGCCTTCTACTAGATCCGATACTCCCTTGTCTGTAAGTTTCGAGCAATTGGTCAATGTCAACCGCTCGATCCGGTTACATTGTGCGAAGGGGACAACAGTGCCGTCGCTGACCTCCTCCATCAAGGCAGAAAGATTCAACCTCTTGATCAGGTCGGAGTACGAGAAGAAACTGTCTTCTTTCCCAACTGTTGTCGTAATGCTCTTCATATTGACCCAGTTGCTGCAAGACGGTCGGTGCCATAGTATTCCAACAGAATTAGCAGCCCATCCTCGACACACCAGCATGCAGCTCAACATGTCGGCCGGCGAGCTGAGCTTTGCAAATATGGCGATCAGGATTTCCGGGGGAAGACGTCCGATCGGCGGAAGCACATAATGCTCATTTTGGGAGTGCACGTCACGGGAGGTTGCGATACCACCAACAGACGATTGCGAATCATTTGCCTGGACTGTGAAGAAATCGGTGTCGTCATCAACGTTCCGGTCCGGGGATGACGAGGATGACGACTCGGAAGGAGCTTCGCTCGAGAACCGAGCGGGTTGCCGTGAGCGGGGCATCAGGACCACCGAGGGATGCGAATCCAGCGTGTTTCAGATAGGTCGGAACGATCGGTTTGTGGGATATCTCACAAACTGATGGAAACGTGCGGCATGGACTGCGTCTCTATACGACCATGGAGGCGAAGAAGGGCCTAGCAAGAGTCGGCGCAACTCTTGTTCAAGATCGCTCCTATGGCTGCTGAATCGGAAAAGTGAACAGGAGATGAGACGAGTTTCTTTTGACTTGATCTGGCTCTAAAAGCTGTGTCGAAAGCCGTACAGTCGAACGGGGGAACGAAGGCGCTTAAGAAGGGACAACGCGCGTCGGAAGTGCCTGTAGCCGTTGCAGACTAGTGAAGGCAAGGGAGGGGTGAATAGAGGAAAGGCGAGGGCGGCGGAGAGATGCGAGGGAGGTGCAAATGTTCCTGGTGACGGATAGGTAAGTGACCACGGCTGGGAGACGCACTCCAAGCTATGATCGAAAGCGGTTTGGCTAGGGGACTCGTGGGGCGAAGATTATATAGCCAGACAATCGGGCGGCTGTGAAGAAAGGGAAGGCGGCGGCTGCGATTCAGCGGAAGGGAGGGGAAGTAAGCGAATCCGTTGCTGTTTGCGGTTCCGTGGGGTGTGTGGACTGTTTGATTATTTGTCAAAATGCCAGTCCTGACAGACGACACTGGGAAACGAAGAATGAGAATAAAATACGGACGAGTCAGATGTCAGCAATGAGAGGGATACCAAGTGGGTGATTTGGGGGGGGGGAGGATCTTCGCTTGATTTGAGGGCAAAGTTGGAAGAAAAGACTCCCAAATCGGTCGGGCAATGTTCGTCTCGTGCCCCGATTGGTTACCGCTAACGCCGTCTGGACTTGATCTTACTAACCTAGTCTTAGGCAATTACCTTAGATAGTGAGTAGTTACTTATGTAGACCCTGCCTGACATTTACGGATCCTTAATCAAGGCAGACATACATATTTTAACTAGTACTACTACTACTACTACTACTACTACTACTACTACTACTACTACTACTACTACTACTACTACTACTACTACTACTACTACTACTACTACTACTA